AACATACAACACTGTAAAAAATGACAGATGCCACCACAGAGTCATAGAAGGTCTTTAAAAGCGCTCCCTGTACTCCAAATGACCTCAGCCGCCTCAGCAGGTAGAGTCTGCTCTGACCCTTCCTAGAAAGAGCATCAGTGTTGTGGCTCCAGCGTGTAATGATAAAGTAGAGAAGTTACACTTATTTTTATTAATTAATTTTTAATTTTTTTTATTAATTATTTATTTATTAATATTAATTTTTTTCATTTGTTGCTCAAACATTAGTTCAAATGTCTTAGAACAAAGTAGAAAAGGGACAATGTCAGATTTAGTTTTATTCATTTTCTTATTTTTTAAAGTCCCTCTTGTGCTCCAAAACATGTTTGAGGATGTTTCTATTCTACTGCTTAATCTGACACTAGATTTCATTTTTGTCATAGTCAATTTAAATAGAAGACATGCATAAATACTGACATGTGCTTTTTTTTAATTGAGCATTTCTCTCACTTCTGTGCATAAACCTAATTTTACTCACTGCTCTGTGTTGAAGTGTAACGACTCACTAAACCACAGGGAGGGAGTATTGGCACAGGTAGACCAGCTGTGCAGCTCTCTGTATATTCAGTTCCTCCTGGACACACAGATTGTAGGAGCGTCATCCTTCTGACCTTCAGCCAGTAATGTAAATAATTCAAGGTGTAACAAGGTGTAACTTAAAGCCCTGCCTTGGATTTAATAAACCATCTTGACAACAATTAAATCTGAGACCAAATGGCAGCTTTTTTAAATTGTTTTTATTGTATTTAATTTTAATTTTTGTTTTGAAAGCTTTTATTGTACATAGATAAAAGTGCAAAAAGACCCAAATAAGAAGGAAATGACATGAAAGTCATGTCTGAATGCTGATTTAAAACAAAAAGATGCAAAAGTGGATAAAGGAACATGCCGTATTTAAACTTTCTACTTATTGTTGACATTTTTTTTTCTGCAAAGCTTTTATTTTTCTCAGCCGTGTTTTTTCCAGCAGCGAGTCTGGTCAAAGAGAAATGTGCTGAAAGTCTGCTGCTTCCTTCCTTCATTCTCACCTGTCGTTATCAAGAAGCACGTCACATTTAAAAAGCAACACACTGTGATGTATCTGTTATGTCACTGCCCCATTATTTCCTGTCTTGTAAAAGACTTTGTTTTTAAACTAACAAGGTGACCCTCACATCAAAATGACCATTAACACCATCACTCTAAAGAGCCAAACTAGTCATTGCACAACCAATATCAGAGCAGATGGAAAACCACTGTCACACTCTCCCTGACTGTCCTGTGCACATCACAGCCTCGCCTGATCTGTCATCACCAGCAGGCAGAGGCAGTATCCCATGATGACGCTGGTCTCTTTCTGTCATTAACACCAGGCTGTATCCATGTGCTTACACGTTGATTTCCAGAAACTCCAACTGGATTAAGTGACCCCCTGAGTGTAGAAAAGCCTTGTAAAGCAGCTATAACAATATTTTGTAGATTAAAATGACATGGAAAGTGGTTTTTCATGGTAAAATACACAGAATTTAAACTTCTTATCATCAAGCATAAGGAATAAAACCACCTACTTTGACTTTAGTCAGTTATAGTGCCAGAGGCACACAGACAGACGGGCTTTCACACTTTCATTTCCTTGTTTTAAATCTCTTCAATCTTTAAAGCCCTGCTGAGTTTCTTTACCCACTCTAACATAACACTACTGCATGCCAATGTGGGTCTATTTAGTTTGGAAAGATGGTTGTTTAGATCCGGCTGGTTTTTGACGTAAAGAGAAAATTAAACCATTTTCAGAATCAACAGGTTATCCAAAGTGCTGCAGATTGCTGCCAGTGTGTGACTGGCTACTAAAAACAGTCGGCGCATTCGAAAATTAAGCATGACGCACTTCCAGCTTAGGTCCTCTCTGTCTTTCAATGCTTCTTTTGCCTGCTGGGATAATTGCAGAATTGGAGGTTAATTATTTGCCCTGGGCCTCCAGGCTTGAAGCTACTAATCAGGAAGGGTGAGTTTGAAGTCACAAAACAGACTTTTAAAAGCAATCAAAGTTTTAATGTTACACCACAGACAGAGGGGAGCTCTGGAACACTTAAATTACCTTAAATGCAGAACCTGACTTAGTACAATACATCTGTAGAGAGAGTTTGCAGTTTACTTTTCAAGGCTATTACAATATGCCTTAATTTTAGCGGAGCGAGACCAACAAGCTAAAAGACATAAAATGAATATTGAGCAAAAAAGGAGTTCAGCTTATTGTTGAGGCCCTCCAGTTCTCATGTGGCCCCTTGGGAAAATTAGTAATCCACTATATCCAGCGAGTACGTTTACCTTCTTTGACTTTTTACTGACATGGCTCTTTATTGAATAATAATAATAATGACATTAATTACAAAGCCTCCTTTTATAATTCCTAATAGTTTAAAAAGGTCTTAGTAAATTAAAAGGAATGACGTATTCACTGCCAGACTCACATCTATGCATAAAATACAAATTAGCCTGTTAGCTTAGCATAGCACCAAGCAGCACCCGAAGCCAAAGTCAGATGCCAAAAACAATGAGTCCTTGAGGAGGCTGGCTTAAAAAGCCAGTCAATAAAAGATGGATGCAACCAACCTGGCTTGTGATTGATAAGTTGTTAGTCAAATACCATAACTTACAAAACTGACCACATTTTCCATTTAATATCAACAAAGTTTCTATAAACTAGAGTTCATGCTTACACAGGTCACACAGCGAAGGGGCAGTAGGTTGTTCCCCTACAGACATCTGTACAACATGTTCTATACAAAAGATGGACATACTGTAGCTTCTGGTTCATAAAGGTGCCTTCTGCATTCTTTTCAACAGCCACCTGGGAGCAATAGCTGTGGTTGCAGAACACTTCTTCTTCTGCCCTGACCTTTGTAAGCATTTTCCTCATGAGTTTGTGGGTTCAGTTGCACATTTTGGGTCACGCCGGACCGAAATCTTGGTCCATTTGGTGAATCATGGTCACACTATGTTCAAGATTATCTAGATATGCTCCTTAGCTCACAAACTGTGAAGTCATTAGCTAATTGGTAAGCACATGTTTCACAGTCCGACCACCCCTCTCTCATCACATCTGGTTTCAAAGCATTTTTATAATGTCTCTGTATAAGAGCCAGTAAAAACAATGCATCTTAAAGGCAGTAAATCATTTTCAGGGGGAGCCACTTCAGCTTTTGCACTAAATATTATTAATCCCCCCTGGTCACCAAGTCTGCAGTAGTCTTTTATTGCTGTGTACCCCTTTATGTTAGCATGATAGGCTTAAAGCTTAAAAATGCCCATGATGGTAGCTACGAGCATCATATATAAGCGGTCTGTATGGTTTGCTCATGACAGGTAGATAAGATGTTTGATACCACTCTAGCATTTGTATGTCAGATATGATACAACAATCAGATGCAACAAGCCTACAAATGAGTGGAAAACAGTTTGCTGAACAATAACAAATTGCTCCCACAAGCATCTATAAAGCTCAGTAATGAACACATTTTTATCTTTTTTGTACAAAAAATAAAGTGTAGAAACTCCACGTTGTGGCCTTGTGGGCGTGGTTATTTGTTACGTGCTGGGACGCTTGTTGACTGGGAGCAGCTGTCGGGCAACTGAGATTCCAGGAAGGGAGATAAGATCTCCTAAAATAGCAAACTGACGTTTATGTCTCTGACTGAAAAGCTTTGCTTCGGGTAATTAGCTGCACAATTCATGGTTTAGTTTGCGAACAATTGGCTACAATAGGCATGTGCACAATCACTAAACCTCAGTGGGTCTTGCAGACCAACAAATATTCAAATAAAATGGTATTACCTTACTCTGTAGGTAATACCTTCATGAAGAGACTGAAAGTGCACTGTAATCATTCAGACATGTTTATGTTTGTCATTTAAAAATAAAGACGTGAATAGAGTAAATGTGACTAATATGAGGTCACAGAGAAAAATTAAATACTAACTGGACCCAAACTAACACTGTCTATAACATTATGCGTCATTATCTGTAATTACAAACGTCATTGCACACAAATGATGTCACACAGCACTCCGCAAGCGCTCGGGTGCACTGCCCCCTTTATTCTGTGCATACAGGATGTTGTCTGTGCGGTGCTGTTTGTGAGGCACGAGCAGGAAGACGCGGAATCGTGAACGTGTCCTTTCCTGTCATTTCATTTTCTTTTCTCCATATGTCACTTCCTTATGACGCCTTATCAGGGCCACTAAAGGTAGGTTGGGAAAAGGGGGCGGGGTGTGGAAAAAACACAAAATCTTTACCTTTTAAGCGGCAAATGCCCATTGTGCTGTAGTTCTTGATACACAAACACTATCACCTCATCCAAATCAGTGTGTTGCTTTCTTCTGAATAGACCCAGTTCATCATAAAGTGGATGATTCACAGCTAAAATCACAAGTATTTCTTTGTTACTAAATCCAGTTGAAAAACCTCATGTAATTAGGTCATCTAATGTCGGCATAGTGCACACCAAAGAGATGTGCAAAGCGATGAGTTGCCTTGATGAAATAATTATATTTTCTGAGTTATTCCTGGCAAATTTGCCACTTTTCTCTTCAGTGGCCCTAATATGCCATTGTACTTAAACAGCTTAAAGACAACAATCTTTTCAGAGTGAGCAAAGGCATATTTCCTTCATAATGATTAGAAATGTTAAATCAGCCTGTGACCTTCACTCAAATGCCTCCATGTTTGGAAAATACAACTTTTTTCCCAAGTCAGCAGCACTCTTGGTGCTCGCCATCTCTGCCTTTCTCACGTCTGCATCTCCCCCATCTGGTCGTTAGCCCTCAGCCTCAAAACCACTGAGGCTGACCCTCATGCAGGCTGACTGCTTTACAAGCTCACACAGCCACTGTTCAATCTGTGTTCAAGCAGCGACTGCATGCAAGAATGCACAACTCTGTCTGAACCACGAACTGCGTGGTTTGAAAAGATACACCTCAGACTGTGAGCACATTTTCTCTTGCACTGTTCCATAGAACAGGAAGGTTGTAAATAAAAAAAAGAGAAAAGAAGAATCAAATGTCGTATATCAAGTCATGCATATATATGCAAAGGCAAATAAATATCTTATGCTTTATGTATACATATAAATTTTACAGGTACTCACTTGATATACATTTGCAAATGCAGAGTATTACTGTTATAATAACATTATCATATGCAGTTCTGGGAAAACTAAGTATGTTCTTATTGCTTCCATAAGAATTAAGAGCGTAAGCAACAGCCATGTGTTTCTTATCTAATGCACTTGAATAACTGACCATCATCAACTGTGAGCACCTCAATAAAAGCATTAGTTTTGACAGTTTTCTGTTGTGGAGCAATGCTATAATCTTCCTAAGAAAATTCACTCAAGCCTCAGACCCAGACAGAGAAACTGCAAAAAACCCAGGAGCTACATTTCAGACTCTACAGGCCTCAGTTAGCATGTTAAATGTTAAAGGTCACAACACTACACTTAAAAAGTCTGAATACATATGCTGTGTTTGGAAAAGCTGCCAGGAGGAAGCCTCTTTTGCATTAAAAGAACACGGCAGCACGGATGAGGTTTTCCAAAACTGCATCTGAACAAGACGTCTGGAAAACCTCATACCA